TTGTAAAAGGAGAAGACCTGGAGAAAAGGACAAATGTAAAATATAACTGTGGAATTCCACTGCTATCTTTTCCCTACCCTGACTCATAAGGCTCCTGCACACAGGAAAGAAATTAGTAAATGTGAAAACAAGCATTCTTTCAGAAGACTTTGTATAAGTTTTATGCTGTTTTTGGTTTAAAATAACTTTTATCACATTTGTTACTATAAATTTTTCATTATATAAATTATGAAATCAATAAACCACTTCTTTATTTAGAACTCCCTTTGAATTCAATCAAACCTGTCTTATAAGCCTAATTTATCAAATTTGGTATTTTTTAAATCCTCTAGCCACAAATAAAGTACCATCAGAGGTAACTAGCAGCATAAAATAATGGATTATTCCACATAGAAATATACAATAGATAGTGGTACATTTTCAGTTGAGCTTTAGAAAGGCATTAGAGTAAGACAAATCTTAGGAGCTTGCACTTAAATTATTAAAGAAGAAGAAATTAGTTTTCAATATTGTAATTGGCTTGATATATCATAAACACTGAAAATTAGTAACATGGTATATTTACCAAATGCCCTGGTACCCTCTAAAATTCTTTGTTCTGGGGCTGGGGGTGTAGCTCAATGGTGGAATGCTTGCCTAACATGCATGAGGCTCTAGGTTCAATTCTTAGCATCAAACAACAAAACTGAAAACACTTGATGCTCTGAATATCACAGTTGAATTAACTCTCATGCCAATAGTAAGCTCCTTAGGAACTGTTTCATCAGTTATTTATCACAAGTTGAAGGTTATCAAGGAGATAGTAGGAAGGCTTGTTTAAAAGCTAGAGAAACTGAAGTCATTTAACTCAGGAGTGTTGACAATTCAGACACTGCAAATAGTTTTAAATTATGCATTAATATATACCCTTTTCATACACTTAACCCTCATAAATAGGTTGAGAAAAGATATTTACCTCTTTCTTAATTTAAAGAAAGGCATACTAATTTTACTGTGTAAAATCTTAAGATCCCAATTTAAATTTCCTGTGAATTTGTCCATTTCCCACTCATATCTATCCCTGTTGCACATCTGAAGTTTATTTGTATTTAGAGAAATAAGATATGTGTTTTAACCCTTGATCTAAACTCAATATTAATTCAGTAATTTTAGTATTTCTTTGAGTCCTATTTTAGGGTTTAAAAATAAGTAATTATGATAGCTCCAACTTACTTATATACATCATAGGACAGTTGCCACAGTTAACTTAGTTTTTTAGTGAGATGCTTTATTTGAAATTGGTATAGAAATGTAAAGTATTATTAAAATCTGTTTATAATACATCTTTTCTCTTACCAAATGTTCTTTATTTGGAATTGTCTTTTTTTTCCTACCATTTATCAATGTTCTCCACTTTCAGAACATCTTTAATTAAATAGCCAACACCAGACACTCCCATGTTTGTCTCCAGTAACCACCCCAAAGTAAGCTCCATTCCTGAAAATTAGTGACTTTAAATGATATTTATATTTTCTGACCTCTTTATTCTACACACTGTGTCCTAATCCTCCCCATGCAGGCTTTATTCACCTGGTAGCTCCTCCCCTCTCTATTCACTGGTGAGAACTAGAAGCTTCCCAAATCCCCTTTCTTGTTCAGGCCACATTTATTTGGTTGCCATATTTGATTGATTCTATCTCCTAAATATCCTTAGAACATGCATCCCTTTCTCACCATATTATACTGTTTCAGCCATATAAGCTACTGTCTGTCTTTTACCCTGAACACTACATTATTCATCTCCCAGTTTTCAGGACTCCCATGCTACTAGGAGAATTCCTTTTGAACAGAAAACTGATGTAATACCCATTGGATTGAAACCCCTATGTCTACAGGATAATTTCTTTGGCACAGCCAACAAAGCATTCCATAATTTAGATCTACTCTCTACCAATCTTTCTGATAGTCCTCATTTTTCCATAACCCACTACTTATGACCACTTGGATTGAACTCATGCCAGTCTCCTCGGTTTGGGTGATTGTGGTGTTTCCTCCCCTGGCCCCACAGGACCATTTATGTACTGTTAAACTCCAACTCACTTTCTAAAATTGAGTTCAAGCATTAGATATTCCATGAAATCTCCCCTTGCTTTCCACCCACCAAGATCTACATTGCTTATATAAAATACAATAGAAAAATATTGCTTGGGAAAAGAAATTTACAAATAAAAATGAAGTTATTATTAGAATAGGAATTATGAAGAGGCACAACAAAGTAAAATTCTATTTTCCATTTTAGGATCACAAGATTTTATGGCTGAAAAAGCTGTTACAGTCAATCCAGACCAAAGTTTTCTGTGGTTTCCATATAAAAAGTAAAAGCTCTTGACTTAAGATGAAGTTTGGGAAATTTGTATCTAGTTGTGTAATACAGACTGTATAATTTGAGTGATCCTTATACAGCATTCAAGAAAGCAGTCACTACAGAATTCAACCATAAAAAAAAATAGGATCATAGAATCTGGACTTCATAATCTCAATTTCTCTTATGTCCACAGCCAGCATTGAAGCTTTTTTGAAGAAATAAAGTTTGTCTTCATTTCATATTCAAAGTTCACTGCCCCCATTGAAAGTTCACTAACAAGAAATAAACAAATTTTCCTGGCAAGTTGGGACAACTGGGTCTTCCTTGATTTTTCAAAAGTATTTTTTCAAAAACCTTTGTCTTCATAGGCAAAATATTAAAAAGACAGGTGAAAAGATTTACTGTAGCACAGTGTCAACTGTGGTACATTTCATCAGTAAAAGGCTCAGGAAAAAAAAGAGAATTGAGTGAGGTATTTTCAACATACCTCATAATTTCAATGGATACTGGTTTCAATCATGACCCATACAGAGATCCTCCTAAGAACTTTCCAAACACTGCAAACCCAATTTTTTTTAAAAGTGAAATTTATTTTAAGGAATCCCAGTATTTGAGGTTTTGATATGTAAACCATGCTGATACTGACAACTGATCTATTTAAATTTATACTATAATTGACAAACGTTTCAAGATATATAAATTTGCAAATGTGTTTTCTTTTAAGCCGCTGCATTTCAGAAATAAGGACATGCTGGCATGGACCAACCTGATCCATCTTCCCTGAACCCAGAGCCACTTAGTACCTGGGAACTTGAGGCAATTCTATTTCAAGTGTGGTCCACTTTTCCATAGGCAATTCTTTTCGAAGAAGGGTTGCAGGTTTTTACTGACACCTCTCATTTCTTGAAATGAATTCTGATATATTCTGAACATAGAGCTCTCTTGACCCTTTCCTTTCTTAGGGTGTTTCCCTGCTTAAAATATGTACACATTTTCTGTAAGTCTCCAATGCTGAGTTACTGGCATGAAAAATGACCCTGTTACTTGGAAAGCAGTTTTCACTTACAAGTCCCCGGGGCCCTATAATGTCTAAACCTCCTGTGCCACTTTATATGATTGCCCCACCCTGCAGAAGAGCATAGACAGGAAAAGCAGACTTCCCTTCCCCCCACACATTTCCTCAGTTTATTTACAAAACGTCTTGGAATGAGAATGAGCTGTTTGTGGTTCCTGTGGCTGATTCCAGGATGGCTTCTTACAGGCAGAGGATGCTGGTCAACCAAATGACCTCTGTGTAGCTCACCCATGCACCCCTATGTAAGGTTCTTTGATCTTATGGGTACCCCTACTAGATAAGTCTGAAGCTCTTTGTTTTATAAGAAAGAATTTAGTAACTAAATATTACTGAATACAGACTAATAACAGCATGGCCTATCAGAGCCATACCTTCCTTTTCCAACAAAGGAAGTCAGAAATATGTGGAGATACCTTCAATTCCTATTCATCAACCTTTGTTTCTCAAAGGAACATTTCTTTTCCCTTCTAGCATTCTGACACTATTCATCTTATATTTGAATAGAGAATATTTTAGCAGGGAAAATCATCCCAAACCCTGGTCACAAGGAAGACACCCCTTAGGCAGCAGTTTCTACCACATCACACACAGTTAATAGTCATAAGAAGGTTAAAGTGGGGATGACCTGAGGTAAACATCAATCTCCCCAGATGTGTATTCATATTTTCTCTAAATTGATAATGGACACTCTTACATGAGTGATTCTTTGAAACCTGGGAATACGTGTAGCCATACTCTTAGGACAGACTCGTCTATCCTCAGCATATAAGATTTTTTACTTCAGTAAGCAGAAAATGAGGGCACAGAAATTGTAAGACTGTCCCAAATATACAATACTGAGAATAAATTACCATAAGCACTTGCATATGGCCCTCATGGAAATACTAGTAATATTAAATTTACAGCATTGTATCAATTTGTGTTGGCAATTATTAAACCCACTTGAGAAGAAGTATTTCAAGAAAGCATTGGAGGGTGGTGAGTAGCTAACATAGTTTCAGGATCAATTTGCACTGAATCAAAGAGTAAAATTGTGTTCTCTAATATACCACAGTTGAAAATAAATATCTTAGAACTTAGTATCCTTTCTCAAACCCTAGTGTGTGTAATTATATTACTGAAGAAATTAAAGACATGTGCTTATCACCTACCACATAAATGAAAAACTAAAGCCATGTGTATTAATTTCAATTCACATGTGAGCATAAAATTCCCAGTCCCTAATTTCCAGAGAAGCTAATTCAGTAAGGATATTTTACATATAGTCCCTAATTTTCCAAGGAACTAACTAGTAAGGGTATTTTGCATATGTATTCTACAGATTGTTCAAGCCAAATGCATTGCTATTTTTCAAATGCACAAATTTTATGAACTTTGAAATTAAAGGCAACATATGTGTTAAAAGGAATATCATATCCCAGGGGGAAAAAAAAAAGGTCGGAAAAAAATTCTGCTTCATTCAACCATTACCACCAAATTGAAAGCTAGTGAAAGAAATGTAAACACTACCAGAAAATGTCATGCAACTTCTATGTTTATAAGTTAACCTTTGTTTTTGTCTTTCTTCATTTGTCTCCCCAGTGCATCCTAATGTCAGTCAAGGCTGCCAAGGAGGCTGTGCAACGTGTTCAGATTACAATGGATGTTTGTCATGTAAGCCCAGACTATTTTTTGTTCTGGAAAGAATTGGCATGAAGCAGATAGGAGTGTGTCTCTCTTCATGTCCAAGTGGATATTATGGAACTCGATATCCAGATATAAATAAATGTACAAGTAAGTGCCTACACAACATTATATTTTTATCTCATCCTTGGGGAATTTTTAAGATTGAAATCGCTTCTAATATGTCTGTGATAGTGTTAAGTAAATAGTGTTTACCTGATGATTAGGCTAAACCATACTTAAATTTAGCAAGATAAAGCAAAAATCATGTGGTTTTCTTTTAATTGAAAAGCTAAGACTGAGAACATGTTTATCACTTATTGAACCTATGGAAAAGTACTGTAAGCATCAATACCATCTTAGTTCCTGTGACCATCAAAAACTCCAAGTATTTAATTACTTGAATCATTGTAGCTTTCTAGGCTACCAAAGGATTTGAGTATAGCAACTCAAACATTTATTTCATCCATTGGATATATTCTCTTCTGGACCCAGGGAGTCTGCACTCCACACTGAACCCAAGTGAACTTTCAAAACTGTAAATTAGGAAATACCATATAGCTCTCTATCTGTCCCTCCACGATCATCTCCTAGGACTCCCTCTCTACTGTGTTGCACCAGCCTCATCTGGTCTCCTAACAAGGCCTTCCCACCTCCGGTCTTTGTAATTACTGTTGTAATGCTGGCTCTTCTGGAAATTTGGAAAGATCTTTGCCTGCCTTTGCATGGCTAGCTCTCCCATTTCATCTGGGATTCTTCTCACATGTCAGAGCAGTGTTCCATGACCATCTTCCCAGAGAGGTATTCCATGACCATCTTATTCAAAATAATCAGCCTTTCCCTTTGTCAGTTATTTCCCAGTTCTTTTTCTTCCCTTTTCTTTTGTGGTTGTTTTGTTGTTGTTTTTTTCAGAGTGCTTTTCACTGAAAAGTGAAATCAAACTGCCTGGTTTAGAAAAACAATTCATCTCTCTGGTTCTCAGCTAATTACATAACCTTTTGAGCTTCAAGCACCTTATCTGTAAAATGGGAATCATCATAGGGACTTCCTTGTTGGGTTGTTTTAAAGTTTAACTAACTTAATATTATAAAATTCTTGTGATAATCCTGGCTTATAGGATTACTTCAAGAAGGGTCAATTTGTTGTTTTTATTATATTTCCTCCTAGAATGCAAGCTTTGTGCAGTCTGAATCTTTTTTCTCATGTGAATTGCTATCAACCAATATCTAGAATAATCCCTGGCATATACTGCAAATCAAATATTTGTTGAGTGAATAAGAACAGTACAAGAGAGTATCTCAGTATAGTTTGTAAAAGTTCTAATGAGACATCTTCACTATGGTTTAATACAAATAGATACTTGTCCTGAAACCAGTTTTGGCAATATATATGTACAAGTTGAGTATCCCTTATCTGAGTTGCCTGGAACCAGAAGTGTTTCAGAATTTGAAGTTTTTTCCATTTTAGAATATTTATGTAGTTTTTACTGGTTGAGCATCCCAAATTCAGATATTTGAAATCAGAAACATTTTGAGTGTCACATTGGTGTGGTGCTAAAAAGAAAGTGTCCTATTTCAGAGCATTTGGGGTTTTAGACATTAGGAAAGGGAATACTCATCCTATATAATCAAAACATTTCATTAGGTAATTAGTACATGATATTAAATCAACAACTGATATACGTCAACTAAATGACTATAGAGGAATCTTTAACTCATTTTAGCAAAATAAATTTGAACCCCAAGTGTGTGTTTGATACAAAATTGCCTGTGTATGGAAAAATGGTCCAACAATAGTTATGAAAAGATCATGAAAGCATATTTCTCCTTTTTTTTATTTTTCAGAGTGCAAGGCTGACTGCGATACGTGTTTCAACAAAAATTTCTGCACAAAGTGTAAAAGTGGATTTTACTTACACCTTGGAAAGTGCCTTGACAATTGCCCAGAAGGGTTGGAAGCCAACAACCATACCATGGAGTGCATCAGTATTGGTGAGGAGGACTTCTGAAATTTAGAACGGAGGAGAAACACCTCACATGATAGTCATTCTCCATGAAGGTGCTTCTCAAAGTCCAGTCTCACAAGAGCCTCAACAATTGTCTCTTAAGAGGCTCTCTCCATCCTTCTTTACAAAGATCCTATTCTAAAGATGCTCTCATAGCATTATCTAGCCTTTATCACAGTAACATTTTTCATCCAATGAGTGCTCCATTATTTCTTAAGGACTGTTTGTATGTTTCAACTATTCTGAACACTGTAGATTTATTTTACATCATTACCTAATGAAGTTTTATTTAGAATTAGTCTCTGTATCTTGAAGTAATTAAAGCAATGATTTCACAAAACACCTAGGTCTAATCTCAACCAATGACCAAAGTTATTTTCCAAGGAGGGAATATTTTCTTTTGATAAGTCCATTAATGCTTCAATGTTCTGCTTGCACAGGTATTCAGAAAGAAAAAAAGAAATATTTTGGACTTACTTAAACTAACAAAAGGAGAGAGTCCTGGGATCTGATAAACTGCAGGCTGAGTTTCCTAGAGGGGAGGTCCCTGAGACAAGTTGTTTGTCTAAATAACAGATCACTGTCAGGCTATATTTTCCCTCTTTTATGTTCAGCTACTTGAGCTATGAGTTTTATGAACACTTGGGGAGCAGATGCTAAACCAAATGAGAAAACAGCATAGGAAAGCTCAAAATCCCCTGGGCAAGAACTGCAGGAACCTTTGATGCTGCACTGAGGTTGGCATGTGCACACAACAGCCCTCCTGATTCAGTACAAGATAGTCTCCAGGACAGCCCTGGGGCCACAGCACAGACCCTTCAGAATTTAAGTGTTGGAGCAGTAAATATAAGGTGGTGATTTAACCATTTCAGGTCCTCCATAGAATTTTTATTTCTGAACAATGGTTTGGGTAGAATGAAACAAATAGATGATAATTTAAAGGTAACCTCAGAAGCATCTGGAAAATAACAGTCCTGAACCAGTTCATTACTCTTTCTGATTACGTTTTTTTCTTCTCAATAAAAACTCAGAAAAACAGCTTAGGAAAGGGTAAAAGATACATGAGAAAGCATTTCAAGTTGATCTCTTTACAGGTCCTGAGGGCTGACGATTAGAGGTAATCAGTTCCAAACTTGGAATAAAAAAAAAAAAATGGGAACACGCTTGTGGAATATTCAAGGATAGAAATTCAAGATGAATTACTGAGTTTGTGGGATTTATTTACCCAGAAAAAAGGACCCACATTGAAATTTTCTTAGTGATTGAAGGTGTAGCACTCTGTGTTCAGATGTTATTTATATTAAAGGTATTAAAAGCTTTCTTATACGAAAGAGCATTTAACATTTGGTACTGTTGGGTTAGCCTTTAATGTTTCCTAGTTTTATTCTACCAGTAAAACTAGATTATTTTTTAACACAAATTTAGGAGGTTTATATTTTAAAATAGGTACTAGCAGTCTAAAGGCCACTTAACTTCATTTATCTCATTTACCAGGTACAAAGGACCTAGGACACAATAGTAGTGCAAACCAGAGACTTTATTTCAGGGTTGGCTCTTGTTTGTCCATAAGGGCTGTCTCCCATCAGGTGCCATCTGGCCTACCGGCGCCACACATATCGGCTTGCCCCAGAATTTCAGGAAAGAAGATGACCTACTTCACCATGCAGAAGAATATGGAAGCCTATTCCCCTAACAACCATGAAAAATAGGACCCAGAGAACTGAAATCTTAACCCCCAGGCCATATTGCATGTTGTCAGGGCTATACTTAGTACATTAACCTTAGCTCCCCACTGGCTACCCAACAAAATATGTCTTTCCCTTTGCTAAAAATATAAAAACTGTATCTCTGGCTTCCTACCTAGATTTCAAATTGATTGGAAAGGTCAAAATCAAAGAAAACACCGCCCTGATGTGGAACTGGAGTCTTTTGCCATCACATACGCATTCCCCGTGGTTTCGGGTCAAAATAAGCATAAACATCCACTGAACCCAATTTTATAAGAGGACGTATTCTTTCCAGTTGGTGCTCAGTTATTAGCTTTCTTTCTTCATTGTCATTCTGTCATCCTCATTGGAGAAGTGATCTTGCTCTAGTCGTCACAGATGGAAGAAGATGTCCTTGTTAGATTTTCTGTGGAACCATGTAGTTGATCAGCAAGAACTGAGCAAAAACAAAATAGTATTGCAAGACCAATAATGGTAGGACATCCAGTTAAATTTTCCTCCCAATTTTTCCTCCCCTTCACTGTTACCCAAGGTTAATGGTCAATTTCAACATAACTATTACCAGGGGAAGGCAGCTCATTATTGTTTTTGAGACACTTGCTTCATTAGTGAATAGCTAGAGATTTCCAATGTTGAGATTGTTCTTATTACAGAAGATAGAAGAAATACAGAAACGGAGTAATTTTCTGCTTTTTTTAAAAAACTATCTCTTAACCAAGTATTGCTCCAGTTCTCCATTGTTCATTTAGTAACCTGACTATAACCTTTTTGTTGTCTTTAGCATTTCCTCCAAAATTTCCATTTTTTCTGGTTGCTAATATAGTTTATTCTACTATTTCTATGGGAAAAAAAGTGATTCTCCTCTCCTGGCATTTTAACTCTCTTGTCTTATTAGAGCTTTTTAATACCTAACCCCATTAGTTTGAATGTACTTCTTCTTCCAATGTAATTGTCAAAGGGTGTCATTACAATTTTACTTTCAGCACCATTCACTTTCTGACTATAGACCAATATTTACCCATGTTGTAATTTTTTAAATCTGGTTTTCTGAAGGCTAAATACACATTTTTCTTTACCATTTTTTCTACTATGAAAGAACACCCAGGTCTGGTCATTTCTGCATTAGACAATGTTTCCTAATGTAGTCCTCTTAATTATGGCATTAAATGAATACTAGACAAAATTAGAGCTCACCATCTTTCCAATTTTTTTACTTTTATTTTGGACATATTTTTATTTTATGTATTAAAGATCCGCTACTTTTTCAATGGTTAAGTTTGAGATGGGATGCTGGAAGATAATGTTCATAACTGGAAAATGATTATGATGTTATTAATGGTTGTTCTATTCTTTAACCATAATTATGGTGGTTAATTGATCATGAAGACTATTTTGAAAGTGGTTCACTAAAGCTCAAGATCACAGAAACTTAAATTCAAGTATCTAGTGCATAATCACTTTTATTTAACTCTGTGTTACATTCAGATATTGAAAGGGACTGAAAAAGCCTGAGAGAAATGTATGATGAATGGATTTAAATTTATAATATACTTAGGTTATGTTTCTTTTTGTATGTGTGTGTCTGTGTGTGTGTGTGTGCACCCATGCGTGTATACAATGCTGGAGCATTCTACTGCTGAACTATACCTCACACCTGCTTTAAATTTTATTTTGAGACAGGGTATTGTTAATTTGCCCAGACTGGCCTTGAACCTGCAACCCTCTTGCCTCAGCTTTCAAAGTAGTGTCACCATGCCCAACAAGGTCATGTGTCTTGAGGTTGTTATCAAAGAGCATTCTGCTCGAAAATAAGGATTCATTAAGACAGAAGAGTTTTCTAGGAAACTTGGCATGGGTTCTATCATGGGAAAGTGTTGCTGTTGGAAGCTGTGTCACTTGTTATTAAGTTAGGAAGTTCAGTGGTTATAATATAAGAAGAGACGTTTTCAAATGTTTCTTTTTTGTTGGAAGTACAAATATCTGTTCTAAAACTTGGGAAATTCATTATTGAAAAGACATGAATACTGCATACAGAAAAAGGAAACAAATCTCTAAAACCTTAAGAAAAGGTAACTCAATTTCTTTTAGGGATCACTTAGTCAAGTTCATTCTAGAAGCAGGTTATCAATTGAAATAATCCCAGAATTCCCTTATAATAGATGCTGCTATGCTGAACCATACCCAGTAATAAATGGCAATATTTAAGGGCTCTTCTGCACAGAAGTAAGAAAGGCTGTGAATGTAGGCCAAAGACCTGGATTCATTTGCTGCTCAATCATTCTATTGTACAGAAGTTTTCAAAGGCTATTCTTAGTATCTACAAATCAGCATCACCTGTATTGTTAGGAAAGCAAATTCACAGCCCCATGCCAGACAACTGAATCAGAAACTCAAGCTGTGGGGTCCAGCATTCTGTGTTTTAGCAGACCCTCAGGTAATTCTGATGCATACTGAAGTTTGAAAATCAATTCTCTAGCAAATAATCACATCTTCTCTCAAGTTCTGGTCAGAATCAATAGATAATTGTAGGGGTTCTCTGGAAATTATAAAGCATTGATCAGTTGTGATGAACTGTATTATTGCCTGAGTTAATCAAATCTAGAGCAAAATGTAAATCCAATGTAAGAATGAATTTACCTAATAATTATGAAAAAAACCTGAAAGCATTCTATTTCTGCTTCTTCCATTCTCTGATTTATACTTAAGTCATCTTACCCAACTTTGATCTTCAGGTTTTATCCTCAAAATTTGGGCAAGTATTGAGAGAAGCAAATCTTTCTTATTTAACAATCATGACAGTGTTGTAAGCCAACTGAGACTGTTTTGCTGTTCTGTTTCAGTGCACTGTGAGGCCAGTGAATGGAGCCCTTGGAGTCCATGCATGAAGAAAGGAAAAACATGTGGCTTCAAAAGAGGGACTGAAACACGGGTCCGAGAAATAATACAGCATCCTTCAGCCAAGGGTAACCTGTGTCCACCTACGAGTGAGACAAGAAAGTGTACAGTGCAAAGAAAGAAGTGTCAGAAGGGAGAACGAGGTACAGTCATACAAAATGTGCTTGTTTGAATTCTCATAATTTGATGCATATCTTGCTCTATGCATTAAGTATTTCTTAGGAAATATTTGGCCATGTTACTCATGTCTAAAATCCTACAGTGTGTACAAGCAAAGAATATGTTTACCCTACATTATAGAATATAGGTCTGATAATTTTAAAAACTGGAACCTAATCTCAGAACTTTATGCTACTATAAAAGTGTGTTAACTGAATTGTGATGCATGAGTTTATATTATAAGCATCTGGGCAATTATTTTTTTCTATGATCCACCTTCTTAGTGCCTAGAAGACTTTTTAAAAGTCTTATAACACAAGCTCTGATTCCATTTTGTGTAATTCTATGGCAAAGAGACAACACCAACTTAGTCCTTTCCTCCTTGCATACAAATCAAAGTTGTGTAATTAGGTAGCAAATTTTTGTGACAAAACAAATATATATTTAGTTGTGGATAGACCTTTATTTTATTTATTTATATGTGGTGCTGAGACTCGAATACAGAGCCTCACACATGCTAGGCAAGCTCTCTACCACTGAGCTGTAACCCCAGCTCTAAATGTATATATATATATATATATACACACACACACACACACACACACACACACACACACACACACACACACATTACCTCTGAATTAAATGACCCAAGACTGTATTTTATGAGTTTAGCACAAACATTAATGATGCTCTATTCCTTGGGGGGGTGGGGGTTGGTTGTCTGTTTGATTTTTCCATGTTACACTAACTCTAAATACTAGATTATAAAATCTATTAGATATTTATTAACTATGCACGGACTTGTTCTGAAATCTTATGGGTTCCAAGGAAAAATATACTATATATTATGATTCCTGAGAGTGAATAAACTTCCATTTAGAAGAACCACAATTGTTGACCTTTAAAATATCATTTTCCTGACTTTCTCACTCATGAACATAGCACCACTTCCTACAAATATGTTATGTAGCTTTGAGTAACTGTTGTTAGTTTTCTGGTGACCCTGTGATTGAGCCTCTCAAGTAATTGCTTTTTGTAAGGAGTAGTCTGCCTCTGGATTGAACTTCCTAAGTTTTTTCACACATTCTTTCAGCATATTTTGTTAAATTCTCACTTCATGGCCATACATAGTACTAGCTGTGGGGATTCCTATCTAAATAGAATACTGTCGGAGCATTTTGTCTCTGAGAGTATACTCAAAGTCATGTGAAGGGTTGAGATATTTGAACAGATGATCACAAAACCATGCACTACAGGAATTTGCATGTATGTGAACTAAGTTTAATGGAGCACAGTGGAGGGCTCTGTGCACACGTGAGCATTGTTATATAAAAAAGATTTGGAGTCACCTGTGCATTTCAAAGCACCTTTCATTATACCAACACAAAGTGGCCATCGTCAGAAAGTATAATCTATTGTTACCATTACATCAAGTAGTTAATGTGATAATATTCTTGAACACATGGATTATTCTAAAAAGAACTTCAAACTTTTGTAAATTTGTAAGAATTTTTGATTAAAATTTAGATTCGGGAATAGAAATTGGCTAGTGAGGGGCTGGGATTGTGGCTCAGTTGGCAGAACACTTGCCTAGCATGTGTCAGGCTCTGGGTTTGATCCTCAGCACCATACATAAATAAATAAAATAAGTAAATAAAGATACATCTACAACTAAAAAATATTTTTTAAAAAAGAAGACGAAGAAGAAGAAATTGGCTAGTGAAAAAGGTCTTTCTGGCATTTATTACCAATTAATCTAAAACATCTTAGATTTTAAAAGTTGGATTTGGAAATCAAATATTTCATCACTGTACTATGCGTATGCTCCCATAGCCCTATGTTTACTTATGTTTACTAAATTTTCTTGAAATTTAATGACTTACAGGTGGTCTTTGCTCATATCATTCTTTCCACAAGACTCTACAGTACTAATCAGTATTAGTATACTTTACTTTTAAAATTTAAGGAAAGTTTATCCAATTGAAAAAAAATCAAAGTAAGACACTAGGAACATTTTATTTCCTTTATTTAAGAATGTGGTCTTCTAATATATTTTGCTGGCACTTGATCTGAACATTAACATTGAAAATGTCAGTTCTTAAAATGAGTAACTGATAAGATAAATAATGCCACAAGGCATTTGAAATAGTAACCTGTGACATAAGACTTGGCTTAAAATTTCCCTCTGATTGCCTCAGAGGATACAGTGACATTTTACATTGACAAGAGAATTTATACAATTAGAAAAAATTCAGTCATTTTATTCCTTTTCAAATTTAATAATGCATAGAACATTCAGTAGAAAATATGGATCACTTATAATTAAACTCTAGATCTAGCTTCACTTTTACTTACTCTTCATTCATCTTTCAATGTTTTCTTTAGAACTATTTCAAGTAGTTCAGGAACAAATCTGTTTCTCACTTCATTCACTACTTCCCTAACCTTATACCTTTCTTTCCATGAGGTTTACTTGTCAAATATTCTATGTGAACGCAGAAAAACCAAATAGATAAGTAATTATGACCTCTGGACATTCCACAATTTTAACTATATAAAGCATACCATCAAGACAATAACAAAAACAATCATGCAAGTCCTCATTTAGGGTTTGATATAAATTTATGTTACATATACAATATAATAAAACACTTAGTTATCATCTTGAATTTATCATCTTAGTGGTAAGAACCACAAATATGCATAGAAGGAAGAATATTATGAGGCCAAATATAGTAAAAGACTAATTTCTTTTTAATTTTTATACTATCTGATGTTTCTTATTTTAATTAGAATAAGCATTAGAAACCTTTAGGTAATTAAAAAGATAAACATAACAAAATAATAAAGACATGATCTCTCCTACAACTAAAATATCTTATTATTTGAATTCTCCTAAATACCAATAAGAGTCATAAAACAGAAACATTCGTTTAGTAAGTAAACTAAAAGGTAAGGTTTTTATTATAAAATTTAGCCTAAAATTTTAAACTTACCTCTATGATCCCTGCCCAAGAAGTTAACAATAGACAGTGGTAGATAACTCATTTGGACTAGGTATGGAGCATGTGTTCAGGATTTTTTCTGCTGTGTTGTAATTGCCAAAGGCAGAGTCCCTAGAGAAGAGTGATAAGAACCAGAAATGACTTTCCAAAATGTGCACAAAGAAGTTGAATAGAAGAAAATAGTTTCTAGTAACAGAATGGCTTCTCCTAGTCGTGAGATGTTTTTCAACTAATACGTGTTGTTGAAAAGATAAGTTGCAAAATCTTGTTACACAGTTTCCTTTCCTATCTCTCTTCTGTTGTTGAGGATAGATGTAGTAAGTGAATGCAAGGAGATAAATGTAATTTGCATAGTTCCAACTCAAAGTTTTAATAAAAATAAAATAAGTAAATAAGTGTACTGTTTTAAACATATTTAGATATATTTCATCTTTACCTAACATGATATCTTTATCAGGCTTATTCATCAATTACTAGCCCAAATAAAAAAATTAAACTTAACTGAATTATATTTGAAATACCAAAAATATGTGAGATATATTTGAAGAGACTACATAAACCAACATGTAGACAAGTACTATATAGGCATTAAAATAATATATTGAAATGGAAGAAAAGAAGGAGAAAGTATACTTTCAATGGTTATCAATTTATAATTATTGACTTTTCAACATATGGGATATAACCATCTCAGATAGAAGTGAAACCAGGAGGTGAGTGTATGCCTGCATTTGATGCAAAAGTGTGTTTGTCTGTGTGATGGAGGTGGAAGGAGAGTTAGTATTTTTTAACTTATTTTATCATTCCTCTAATTTACTGAAGAGAATTTCCTACAGATGATTTTTAGTGCAGTTCATCAGGAAGGAAGGAAATTCCATTCATGACTAACTCATGAAGAAGATCCTCATTAATTACAGGTAGTGGGTGATCTTGAAATTGAAAGAAGAGAGAGGAGTCATGGGAAAAATGCAGTTGGGATCTACCTTTTTGGTAAAAAATATGACGCAGTTTTATTCTCATCTTAGTTAGAAAAGGAGTACATTAAAATAGAAGTAAATAAAATGTCCAAGGAAATAAGTACAGAAATTATTGTATAGATTTAATATACTATAGGTTGCTTTGTGTACCTCCCTAAAATTAAGTATAATAATTCTATTGGTCGTTACATGAAAGAAAGGTCTTACATGCTAACTTATAATATCAGTATTATAAATATGCATTATTATGATGGTATATTTAAAATTACAACAATATCAGTTTTTAAAAATCTAACAAAAAACAACAGTGAATCTGTTTTGTTTCTAGGTTTGCTTCTTTGTCATTTAGTTTGCTTCCTAAATTTTTATAACTACTCCAATGACTGATAGTTGAATTTACTACAGGAAGGAATTAGATTAACTAGTAATTCAATTCAAAACAAGGTACATGGCCAAGATTTCCAGAACAACTCATCAAAAGCCAAATAGATGGTTTTATTCATTGAAAATTGTAGGATGCCAACTGGTTTGAAGAACTTAGATTTTGCCCTTTACTAGTTCTCATCCTCATGGAAGGCCAACTGGACTAAAGACACTCATTCTGTTTAAGCACTGAAGGATGAAACTTTCTGTTCTTTCCTTACACCTGTTATTAGACTGAAGCCTTGACACAGGTAAAAGAAATGTCAATAAAATATAGAGCTCAGATAAAATGGCACTAGAGACTCTGGTTCTCAACCAGGGATGACTTTGCTCTCAGGAAAAATTATTAACTGCTAAAAGTACCAAGAATAAGAAATTGTGGTATAAACTCAACAATTTCTTTTATATATTCCTCGGGTTGTTTGGATTCTGGAGAAGACCACTTGCCACCAATAAAAACCTGCACTTCATAGGAAGAGATGTTAACTAGGACAAAATGGTGGGACAGAGGCAGAAGTTTTACCTCACATTATGAATATAATAATCAATTTTACTAAAACTTACTAATATTTTAAT